AAAGTTTTGCAAGGTCTGTAGGACTTCTGCCTCAGCAAGGACAATCTCCACAAGATTCATTCTGCCCAACGACATTATTGTAAATAATTAGCTTCCTTGTGTGTTTGATGGCTCTATAAAATGTTGTATATATAGGACTTTGAAACTTGTGTTCAATTTTGTAACTGCTTAAACGCACCTCAAATATTAGGCAAAAAAGCTAATAAATGAAAATTTTAAAATCATTTTGTGCGCGACATTTTTTTTATCAAATCACCTTGAAATTTTTTATTTAATCTTTAATGCTCATCAAATTATGATTCTCCCTAATCATCAACCCTAAAATCGTGATTCACCCTAATCATCAACCCTAAAATTGATAACATCACAAGTCCAGGTTTTAGACACTGGCGCCACTACATATTTTGTTAATCATAGTTTTTGTTTGAAATTGATTTGCATTGCATATGTTTAAACGAACAAATCGAATTAATTCTAAATGAATGAAAAATAAATGATAAAACACTTTCTACAGTTAGTGATACTGCAGATTAAATATTGCCTAGAAGATCTAAATAAATTATACATTGTAGTCAGATTTTAAACTTAGCAACTCAATCAAAGACGTTATTTTATTATTATTATTATTTGTCAATATGCGTACATTTTACAATGTTATCCTTAAGAGCTAATAAATATATATAATTACAATCTGACTGGAGCAAGCAAAAGATAACATGTCTAATCATCAAGCCCCTAAGTGAGAATAGAAAAAAATATATAATTTTGCAAGTTCTTATTAAAAAGAGTGAAAATAAAAAGTTAAAAAAAAAAAAAATTTAAAGTTTGAAAAAAAAATTATGAAGTTTGCAAAAAAGATCTTTAAAAAAAAAAATTACAAATCGGTACATATACGTATCGTAATATATACATATGCAATAGAATAAATAAAATATATTTATATATATTTAAATATTTAAAAGAGAATTGGAATTTAAGAAGATTCAAAACATATCAAAGATTTAAATTCATCTATTTATATTTTTTATAAAAAGTTAAAACAAACAAACAATAACAACAAGAAAGATATACCCAGTGGGCACGGGACCTAAAAAAGACGTCTTTTGAACGTTCAAAAGACGTCCAAAACGTTCATAAGACGTTTAAAAGACGTCTTTTTTACGTCTGTGTCCACTGGGTATCAAAAAATAAAATTATTTTCCTTCAAAAAAATGAAAGAGTGTATTTATTGTTTAAATTTAATATTTGTTTTGTTAAAGTTATTTTAAAAATATCAATAGGTTTTTTATTATTTTTTTTTTTTTTCATATTTTCGTCAAAAACCGAGTTTCATAAGATTGGTCGCCGACATGTAATTGAGAAATCAGATTTTTTTAGTGTTGTTAGTGGAATGTACTAATTACTTATTGAGTGTCTTGTTTTATATCTATGATTAATTAGAGAAAAAAGTTTATAAAAATATTTTGGAATTATTATTTTGAAGTTTACACATAAATAACACGCTATGGTAGATATGATAGATATATGGTAGATATGGTTCGTATCCGTTTAGAGCATTTATTTCCTTGAGTAACAGAGGTGTTTATCTGTTGTAATTATGCCAGCGAACAAAGATAATAAAGAACAGTTGTTAAAAAGCTTGGAATCGGAAAACATAATTGATTTATTTAAGCCAATAAATGATTTTACAAAAATGATGAGCAAACCACATAAATATACCAGCAGTAACTAAAAAATTAACTAAATAAAGCTAACTAAAAATAAATTTAGCTAACTTTAAAAGCAACTCAAGTAAAAATGTCAATTATAAATGTTGTCATCAATGTTGTGAAATGTTGTGAAAAAAGTTATACGCAGCTACATATTTAAACCCTCGATTATATACTTTTAAGTTTTTAACGAACAAAGCAAACTGCTTGTATTGTTAAAAGCTCATTCTTTAGTTGTTCAATTTACGTATGAAATGCAGCTCACACCAACAAGTCTTTTGGCCGGATTTACTCAGTAATAGCTTTACGTGAATAAAAACTTAAGTAAAATTGCTAAAGTTTTTATTCACGTAAAGCTGACTAATTACTGAGTAAAAGCAATTGTTTACCCGGCTTTTTGGTTATCTACCCAAAAGTTGTCATCTAGTTAAAATTCCATCAAAAAACCTCATAAGTGTTGTTTAGACATTAGTTTATTGTGGGGATTAAATGTAAACACTCTTGGTAAAAAGCTAAATCTAGGACTTAAAAAAATTTAAATTTTTTATACCAATTACACTAAGTTGAAATTTTTTTTTCTTGCACAGTCTGCAAACCACTTCTATGTAAACTTAGAGCATTAAATGTGCACAAAACCGACATACACTGAGATGACATACATACACTGAACTTTACTTTTAGGGTGACATCAATAGTATTTAAACCTTTTTTTAGTAAAGTTAGTCATAATATACCTCAAATTTTTTTTTTCTAAAGTTTAATTTTAATTTAAATTCTTACTATTTTTTACTATTTAGTATCGGAGAACTCTTTTTTGCAGACATTTATGAAAAAAGACTTCAGAAATTTAAAGCTTTATTAAGGCGTCATTTTTAGTTTTTTTAAATTAAGTTTTTAGATATTATAGTGCTTCAAGAAGACCAAATAGTTGAGATCACAGAGCACCGCACTGGAGCATTTAACAAGAAGACCAAATGGTTGAGATCACAGAGCACCACCGCATTTAACAAATATCTGATCAATATTGTTGATCAAATCAAATCAAAAAGATTCTGAATAAAGTTGTTATTTCAAGTATGTTTACATATAGTAATAAGTACTTATATGAATTAAAATACCTTTCAACTTTAATAATAATAATAATAATAATAATAATAATAATAATAATAATAGCAATAATAATGATAATAATAATAATAGGGGGAGGAGGGATCTGCAAAAAAGTTCTTTTACTCTACTCGATAACATAATTACTAATAGTTTTTTTAAATAACTGCTTTAGTACAGGTATAATAAAAACTGATTTGATCATTTTCCAACATTTCTTATTACAAACAGCATTATCTCTAATAATACTCCCTCAAAACATATAATATCTAAACGAAAGATCAATGAAAACTCCACACAACAATTATTTTTGTTATCCATGGAGATAAAATCACTTTTATCTCCATGGATAACAAAAGGTCTATTAAAATCGTCGAGGAAAAAACTGAAGCTTTATGAAAAATTAAAAAAAAATAAAACTTATTCAAATGAAATTAAATATAAAAACTATAAAAATATTTTTAAAAAAGTCAAAAAAAAAAAAAAAAAAAAAAAAAACGACTTGAAAAATCTAAAAATAATTTACAACAAATATGGAATGCAATTAAAGAAATAATTGGTTGAAATAAATATAAAAATAACACACATAAAAACTTTTAATTGACGGTTATTTAATTTGTGATAAAGTGCTAATAGCTGAAAAATAGCCTTTTTGTTAATGTTAGCTCTAATTTGGTAAGAAATATTCCTCCAACTTTATTAACATTTGATTTCTATCTAAATAATAAGAATCTAAGGTAGACACAATTGTGTTGCGATCTGCCTTATTAAGTCTAAAAAAGAACAAAAATGCAGGATCAGATAAAGTTTGTGTCAATATATTAAAATTAGTCTATGATATTATTGAACCATTTTAATTCAAATTTTTAATCTATCTTTTAGATCAGGTATAGTTCCATATAATTTAAAAATTGCACGAGTCACTCCGATTTTTAAAGCTGTAGATGAGTTAGACCCTTCGAATTACAAATCTTTTGTGTTATCGTGTTTTTCTAAATTGCTTGAACGTATAATGTACAACAGAATGTATAATTATTCAATTGAAAATGATGTTGAACAGTAAACAATTTGGTTTAAAAAAAATCATTCGACTGATCACGCAATAGTAAAACTAGTTAACCATTTATCTAATGCGTTTAAAGAAGACTGTTTCACATTAGGAATTTTTATTGATCTGTCCAAAGCTTTTGACAACGATATCATTCCATTCTAATATTTTTTAAAAAATGGAACATTACGAAATAAAAGATTCAAACTTACATTGGTTGAAAACTATTCGTCCAACAGAAAACAATATGTACAATGCGATCATATAAAAACAACTAAAAATGCTATAACTTGTAGAGTTCCACAGGGTTCTATATAAGGGCCTTTAAATTTCTTACTATACATTAATAATTTATCTTCATAACCCAAGCTTATTAAGTTTTATTTTGTTTGCAAATGACTCTAATTTTGTTTATTCTTATAAAAATATTGAAACCAAATTAATAAAAATGGCATGAATTAATAGAACTGACAAAAGGTCAAATTTCTTATTTTTTGGCGTACGCACTTTATCGACCCTTAAGTTATAATTTACTTTTTATTTAAAAAAAACTTGTTTTAATGACAAATCAAATAAAAGTAAAATTCACTATGGGCTGACGTTTTTTATGGGCACCTCTTCTTTATAAGTCTATAAGTCTATAAAAAACGACTATAAGTCCATAAAAAACGAATCTTACGCGAGATCAGTAATATTGAAAACAAAGCCTAAAGCCCAGACTTTCTTATACCTAGTTTGCCAACATATAAGAATGTATATCCTTTTATGTTGGCAAACTAGGAACTTTTTTTGAAAAGTTGTTAATTATTCAAAAACATTTAGTTATTAACAAGTGCTTGTTAACTGTGATAAATTAAAAAAAACGATATACGTACTTTTAAATTGAAACTACCCCCCCCCCCCATATACGTTTTCGTATGCAATTAGAAGACCCACCTCCTCATATTAGCGTACGTACTTTATGGACGACTCGTTAGGTAATATCAAGACGAAAAATTTCAAAAGAAATTACTAACATTTTGGTACAGGCATTTTACTGAATCAGCGGTCAAAACTGTTTTCATTAACATAACAAAATAAAGCCTTTGACATTTAAGCCTATTATTAAATTGCCAACGTATAAAATAAACTTTAAATTTATTACTATTTTTAATACTTTTTTAAACTCAAAACTGATTATTTTTTTAAACAGCTTAATTATATACAATAGGAAGTGTCAAAGCTGCATGAAATTACAATCTTGTAATGACATGCCACCTTTTAAAAATTGAAAGATTCAACCCCCAAAAAGATTAAATGATACCCTTCTTAAATGATACCCTTCTTTGAGTTAAATCTTTAAATGATAAAAGAAATATAATAAAAATATAATCAACAAAAAAACTATATTACAAAAATTTTCGAGTGGTATCTTTTATGGGGTTAAGTCATTAAATGATAAAAGAAATATAAAAAAATCATTAGCTTTTTAAAAAATAAACTATATTACAAAAAATTTAAAAATGGTATCGTTTTGAAGGGTTAAGCCTTTA